TTGTACAGGTTCAAGCTTTATTGGCCTTGCTAATGAAGCTTTGAACAATTAAAATCTCTAACACTAGTTCAAGATTTGGAATAACATAGCTATATCCTTCATATCAATTAAAAACAATGGGAAGACAATAGTAAAATTTAATAATTTAGCACAACATTCAGGCACCTTAAATTGTGAGCGCGATGCAGCTTCTAGCCTGTTATAGAAATCACGCTCCTCAGCAGAGAAAGCCACCTTTTTCAAATGTATAGTTTTTGGTGGTAAGTTAATAATTGGCTGGCCCTCAATCAATGTACCTAGAATAAAACACTGAAGATTATTAACTTCTAACATCTAATATTTCAGCATTACAAGAATAGTATAAACATCTATACTTCCTAGCAAACTTAACTGTTAAAAGTGCAAGAGATTGGTAGAAAGAATAAAAGGACAAAGTCAAATAAAGTATAAAGTATTATTATAATAATAATTATTAGTAGTATTTTTTTGTTGCAAAATAGACTACATTTCTTCATTAACCCTCTCCACCAAACATGAAAGTTCTAAGGTCAGATTGGCCCTCAACTGAGGAAGAAAAAAGTTTGGTAATGATTACATAAGACCTACATTCTTCTAGGTAACACATTCTCTGAGACTTCAAAAATTAGTGCAAAGCATTTAGGTAATGCATTAACATTCTTTGGTGTCAGTTCAATGCTCAGTTGTAATTTTGAACCTACCAAATCTGTTACCAATATTGCTCAGGAAGCTCAACATCAACATTGAAAGCATACTAATCAAATTTAGGTGAGAATCAAATAAATTTGAGGTACATATCATGCAGAAAGTGAGCCGGAAAATCCACTAAGTACATCGCTATGCAGAGATAGAGCTTGAAAATTAACCAGGCTAGTTGACTGTCAAGAGGCCTGCCTCACTATTTTTTTCCCCACTATTATTTTTGGAAAAAGATACATTTCCCCTTTCTTATTGAATAAGGAATCTACAGCAGGGGTTAACAGTCTATATGAAAGATAGTTCAGTCATCCTTAAAATGATGATAAAAGATGAATCTGTCAATGACAATCAGTAAACAATCAGAGCAGGCATCCACGTTAAGAAACGAAATGTTCAAACCAATGATCACAAGTTAAAAGATGTAGAACAACTCTACTCTAACAAATTAATTGATTGGAATCCCCAAACTTATGCCATTCCAAGTGACAGAAAAGCATGTATACTACCAGTCTACCATAGAATTGGAAACTCCTAAGAACCAAGATACATTTAGAGCACAAATTGTTTTAAAGAAATTAACCATACTTTAAGTGCTTGGAAAATATAGTTTTGTATTTTAAAAGAACTAGCTTTATATTAGAAAAAGAAAACTTCACAAAAGGAACTGGCTCTATGATAGAAAAAAGAAAACTCCACTTTCCAGTAATAATCTTTAACAAAGGAAGTTGGAAAACAAGATATTTGCCAAAGTTTCCTCAGTAAACTTGCAACATTTCTCGCTTTATTCTTAAAAATGGAGAACGCACATGAACCATAGAGTCCACCACCCATACTCCCATCACCACCATCCATATCCACCCGCTACCACTCTCACTGCCAGCAACCAACCACCATAGCCACCACCACCACCACCCACAGCTATTACAGTAACGACTATACTTCCACCCACCACCACAATACCACAATCGCCACCCACCTGTTATTACTGTTACCATAACTGCCCACCACCTACTTCCACCCCAAATTGTTATTGCCAACAACTGCCCTGTACCACCATTATCACCAACTATTCACCATCATTCTTACCCCCACCACTGCAACCCATCTCTGATCCAAACACAATTACCACTTGCATTTGTAATTTCATATTAAGAAAGTAATAAAATTGTGTTTTGATGTTTTCAAAGTTCAGTAATAAGTACTCCCTCCATTCCAAAAGTATGTCCTCTTTAACTGGACATACGAATTTAGGAAAATAAATTTAATGTATTGACTATTGACTAAGTGATATATACTATATTTTCATTTTTCCCATGATAAATGCACTGTAAATTTTTCTTATAATAAATGTAGTAGGTTTTTTAAAGGGTGTTTTGAGTAATAAAGTAATAAATATTGTATTTCCATGTTGGGAACAAAGGAAGTACAAGTTTACAACTAAGGAACAAAATTACTTTTGCCATCCCTCCAAAGTAGAAAAACCAAAACACTAAACACTAAAAGTATTAGATTGACAGAAGTATAATCACCTTTTGTTCGGCGCAACATAATGGCCCTCAAGATTGCTTGAAGCTTCTTGTAACCTTGTATCGAGTTCATAGCTATTGGGTACTTGACACCACTACAAAATGTTTTGTAGTCAGCATAGGGATCGTATCTTAGAAATCTGAAGTAACTGAATAGCTCGTCAATGGAATTTTGTATAGGTGTTCCAGACAAGCACCACCTTCTTTTCGCTCTAAGACTGCAACAGGCTCTAGCCACTTGTGTTCTATGATTTTTTATAGTTTGAGCCTCATCCAAAATAACCCTAAACCAGCTCACTCTAGCAAGTGTACCACAACCAGGATCAAAATCATCTGTATCAATTCCATTCCTACCTTTTTTCCCCTTCTTTTTAACATATGTGTTTTTCTGCTTTTTGTAATTAGAAAATTGAGAAGAAAATCCATATCTTTCACCATTCTTTTGCTCATCATCATCATCTTCAACTGCCGGCTGTTTTGGAACTTCATTTGTCACGATAGCATATGTTGTTATAACAACATCATATTTTGCCAATTCAACAGGATCCCTAGGCCTATTTCCTCCATGATAGATCAGCACATTAAGTCTTGCTTCATTTGTAACTTTCTCATCCAGCTCCCGAGCCCATTGTCGAAGAATACTGGCTGGACATACAACCAATGTGCCTGCAGCTGGCCTCTTTCTACGAAATCCCTTCATAGTACTTGCTTCTGGAATCACCTGAAAGTCATCAGGTTCAGCACTCTGTTTTGGTTCCTGAGAAGTAGTACCAGTATTTTCATCATCGTCATCCAAATTCAAGGCTTGAGCTTTCATAACTCCCACATTTTTAGATTTAGCTTTCTCCTGTGAAGACTTCTGTGTCTGTATAATTGCAATCATTGACACAGTCTTCCCAAGGCCCTGTTACATAATGTATAAGCTACGTAAGAAAGATCAGAAGTTACGAAAATTAAGGATAATGGCTTTACTGAATAAGTAACCTGATCGTCAGCAAGAATTCCACCCAGACAATGTACACTAGAAGTCTCCTTTTGAAGCATCCATGCCAAGGCTATCCTCTGAAGATTGAGATTATGGCAACTAAGAACCACAAATACCAAAAGAAAACAAAAGCACTTAAATTAAGCAGAATACAGACCTGGTGCCTTAACAGAGAAACTGATAGAAGACCATCAGGTAATGTGGCTTCTACCTTGGGCTGATTTAAATCCTGCAAGGAAGTGACAGATATATTCATACCAAAATGTAACCACCTGCATCTTAAGACCGATAGTCTAAGAGATCCCAATCAAATATTACAAAGAAACACATCCAAAAGCCATGAGCTTCTGATGGAACATTCATTTATAAGTTATACCTTTCCAATTGTAAGGAATACAAGCATTTTGAAATTCAGAGTCATTACACTGGGATGACTAAAAGTTTTACACTTACAGCATAAAGACCTTATGACTGGAAGCCAATCAAACTAGGAAACAACAAAAAGAAAAAGTTTTAACAAAAACTAGACAAATATAAATGAGGTTACTAGCCTTAATGAAGTGGACCATGAAATTATATCTTGTATTCACAAAGAACCTATAGACATACAATATTGAAGATTGTATGTCTACATGACAGTACTTGCAACAATTTCAGATGCTTATGCAAAACCAATGCTGAACCCCCAAATCAAGCAATCAAATAAAGGAATGTAAGTAGATTAATTTATTTCTAGCAGGATGCTTGGCATAAGAAAAACTGTGTTGCTAGGAAATGAAGTCCTGTCACACTAAAACTTAATAAAAAATGAAATAAGGAACTGAAAGCAGCTTACCATGCCCCTTGTAAATAAGAAAGATATATACAAGATAGAAAAAGCATTAAAATTGAAGGCACCAAAGAACACCTGTAAAGCAGCTTGATAAATCAGCCTCTCATCAGTTCCTGCTGCTCTCTCATCACCCATCCCAGGATGATGTAGAGGATCATTCACACCAGTATACAAAGCACCTGAAGCAGATTTTCTATGCATCAAAAATGGAGGTAGTATTCTGTTTCCCTTGTTATCATTGACAACTAATCCATTACCAATGCCCCTGCTGGAATGGTCTTTCAAATGGATAGCAGCTGCATCTTTTGGAGTTGACCAAGCAGATTGATAAGATTTTTCTTGGGTTTGACGAATCTGACTGCTGCCAACATTCTCTACTAAACTGGATCTGGAAGAAGGACCAGAAGGATAAAAAGAAGCAGGAAGCGCCCTCTTCTTGACATGATCTGTGTCAAACATGTGAAATTTTAAATCACCAACCAATATTGTCTAAAATTTTAATGACAATGCAGAACCATATTACCATTTCTATCATCAGCAGAAGCCCTAGAACTTGAAGCTCCAAATCTATCACCATAAGATGGACGCACTGAAGAGCTTGCATTCACCCCATTAAAATTAAAAGAACTTCCATTTGCAGAGGCTGTTCTTTTGGGAGAAGGACCCCTTGCAGAGGGACGACTGTGATCTGAGATTTAGTCAAATTTTGTTATATTCAAACCTGAAAATTAGGTTAGCGAAAAATTAAAATAAAATAAAATCTTTAACCTGATGCCCATGTTGGAAGAACCCTAAAATCAGAAGAGGCAGAGTCCACTGTAGGTGACTCATCTTTGTATTCATCTATTGCTCGCAACTCTGAATCTTCACTAGAATCGTCAGAACTGATAACAACATCTATAGGAGCCATTCAAGAAACTTAAGAGACAACCTATGATTGAACACAAAGATGTCAATGTCTAACTAAGAGAACAAACAAGGGTCTAACCTGCAAATCCTACAATATAATAAGAAAATTGCTTACCAGAAGTGGTATTTGTAATTTGTAAAATCCAATCTGTAAAAAGGTACACCTACACTCTTAAGATATGCAGCAGCTGTTCAACGTAACCACGCATCTAAAATAAATACATACAGCCCATTTGCCTAGTAAAAAAAGCAAATAATTACAAATCCAACAAAAGCAACCTCAAAGAATGAATTCATCACAAAGAAAAAGAACAAATCAAAATATAATGCCCAACAGTCATGTAAACAAACCACATGAAAGAAAAAGATTTCGTAAATGCAAATTTATACAAGATAAACTAATAAAACTCAAATTAATGAACTTGAACTAGTAACCACACTCAAAAATTTTGATTGCGAAGCAATAACTATGTATACTAAACGGAAAGATCAACAAATCATCCCTCAATCTGACCATGCAAAAAGAAATGGAATCGACATTCAGTTCAGGAAATAAAAATTATTAAAACGAACATCAAAAATTGCAAAAAAGAAAAATTAAAGACTAAGTCATAAAAAAAATTCCAACTTGCACACAATGGGGTCAGTATCGAACAAAATACACTTCAAGGAATAGATTTCAGGACAATAAACTTAATTGGTCTAACTAAAACACAGTTCAGGGACTACCCGCTATGCGAAAGTAAAAATAATTAAATTTTAAAAAAAAAATACCTAATATCAGACTCTGGCATTACTTCTTCCTTGCTTAGCTGAAAGTTGGGAAATCGGGCTTCTTCTTCTTTTGTACGATGAATATTTGAAAAGCCCTAATTCGTGAAGCGAAACTGCCGCAATTGAAGTACGACAGCAATTCACTTCGGCACTGGGAGAGTATTTCTTTCATGTACTTCTCATAGTTTTGACGTTCGTTCCCAAGTTTCTTTTTATTTATGACGTCGCCCCCGGGATTTCAAAAATCGATAAAAGTGAATGGTTTGATGCTTTTTAGATTGAGCCCTCTATCTTTACTATATTTATAGTTTTGCCCATACTTTTTTTTTTTCCATTTTGTCTCAAACGTGAGAGAAGCAAACCAGAAAGCACCATACCTCTTCAACGGCTATGATTCCGAAGCATTTTTCGGTTTTCTATTTTTCTGTTTCAATTTTAGTATTTGTGCCCGCTGCACGGAATGAATTTGTTATAATATTTTAAAAAAACTATTTGTGCCCGTGCGTTGCACGGAATGAATTTGTTATAATATTTTAAAAATATTTAGATTGATATACAATTGTATAAATTATAACATTGAATATTATATAATAGGGAAAATGACACTTTTTCCCCCTGTGTTGTTTACTAATAGCACATTTTTCCCCTGTGTTGTTTATGTAACCACTTTATCCCCCTCAATTATTTTTGAAGTGGCTATTTTTCCCCCTCTACGTTAAGTAAGTGTTAGGGTTGTTAAATATGAGGGTAAAAATGACATTTCACTTCTTATTATTATTATTATTATTAATGAATGACCCCACCCAACACCCCTAATATACTGCAGTACTCCACGCCTAAAATGCACACTTATATTGCAAACCAAATTCATTAATAATAATAATAATAATAATAATAATAATAATAATAATAATATAATAATAATAATAATAAGTCCCACCCAACGCCCTAATATACTGTAGTACTCCACGCTTAAAATGCACAGTTATATTGCAAACCAAATTCATTACTAATAATAATAATAATAATAATAATAATAATAATAATAATAATAATAATAATAATAATAATAATAATAATAATAATAATAATAATAATAATAATAATAATAATAAGTAAAATGTCATTTTTACCCTCATATTTAACATCCCTAACACTTATTTAACGGAGAGGGGGGAAAATAGCCACTTCAAAAATAATTGAGGGGGATAAAGTGGTTACATAAACAACACGGGGGAAATGTGCTATTAGTAAACAACACAGGGGGAAAAAATGTCATTTTCCCTATATAATATAATTGAAGAATTGAGTTGCACCGATTATGTTTTCTAATGTTATCAATGCTTGAATTCAAGTAAATAATTTCTCAATTAATAGCTAACGTGTAGATATACGCATTCATTGCTGCAACTGTAGAGATTTTATATATCAGTGTTTATAATTTGTATTAATTGCGCTAATTAACTCGTTGTCTAGCAACTCGGTTATAGAAATTATTTATATGTAAGTTATATTTTCTATGTATATATATAGCAATTTTGTCATCTTTGTATATTAAAAAACATAATATCAATGACTTGAATTATACATTATTGAAAATCTCTTTGTAGACGACATTGGTAGTAGTAACGGGATTTTATTCATCCCCGTCTAGAGTTAAAACAATCAGACCATCAGGATGGGTGACTCGGGAAAAAGTCACATACAATTAACCGTGATTTAAGACTGATTTTTTCGGTAATAACTCAACGTGAATCATTGTTCACATCTTTGAATTATTTATTTTTTTCTTTACCTATTATAAACAGAAATTACGATATTTATCAAATTGTATTTAAAAAATATATATATAACATTTACACATGTTATGAGGGGTTAAAAAATATTTTAAAAATATTTTTTATTAATATGTATTTTTATTTTAAAATATTTTCCAGCAATCCAAACACTCACTTAGCTTTCCATAAAAAAACTGATAAAGAAAAGTCACTTCATTAAGAAAATTAAAACTAATTAAAGTAATTCTAATCATGCTATATTTAATTCACTACAAAAAAAAGTGGAAATAACGACGGATTTAGCGACGGATACATTCTGTTGCTAATATAACGACGGAATAGCGACATTTTAGTGACCGATTTTATTTTTTTTGTGAAATATAATTTTAGCGACGGATATTGCGACCGAAAATTGTTGTCGTTAAATACGTAGCTATTATTAGCGGGAATTTTTGGCGCAAAACATAGCGACGGAGTAGCGACGGATTAGCGACGAAATTTTCGCAAGTTAATTTCTTATTTTTAATAGCTACAGACTAGCGACGGAAATATTGATCCGTCGCTAATCTTTCAAGGGCATGTATTCTTGATTCAAGTGTAGCGACGGATACGCATATCCGTCGCTAGAATTTGTACGGGATTTAGACATCTTAGCAACGGATACGCAAATCCGTCGCGAAATGTATATGCCAATTTTTTTTTATGATTTTGTAGCGACGAATTTGCAATTCCGTCGTTAAATTTATACGCCAAATTTTTTTAATGATTTATTAGCGATGGATTTGCTAATCCGTCGTTAAATTTATGAGACAATTTTTTTTTAATGATTTCTTAGCAACGGATTTTATAATCCGTCGTTATATTTAGAAGACAATTTTTTTATTGAGTTCTTAGCGACGGATTTAGAAATCCGTCGTTAAGTTTACAAGCCAATTTTTTTTAATGATTTCGTAGCGACGGATTTGTTAATCCGTCGTTAAATTTATAAGACAAATTTTTTTATCATTTCTTAGCGACAGATTTGAAAATCCGTCGTTAAGTTTACAAGTCATTTTTTTCAATTATTTCTTAGCAACGGATTTGCTACTCCGTCATTAAATTTATAAGACAATATTTTTTAATGATTTCATAGCGACGGATATATCCGTCGCTAGGAGTTCATAAATCAAAATTTACTCAGTAGTCAGTCCTAAGGGTTTTAGAATCTCTTCCCCATCGCTATTTTCTCACCACCTCACCGCCTCCGACCGCCCACACCTCAGTAGTCAGTCCTAAGGCCGATTCTCTCACGCCTAAACCTAAGGCCGATTCTCTCACGCCTAAACCTATGGCCGATTCTCTCACGCCTAAACCTATGGCCGATTCTCTCACGCCTAAACCTATGGCCGATTCTCTGCATTACTTCTAAAACTAAGGCCGATTCTCTCACGCTCTCAGAACATCATCGACTTAATTTCTGCTATTCTCTCCGCATTCAGCAGTGCACCACCGTCTGGACCCGCCGGCGGCATTCTCGTCTTTGTCAGTGGCAATCTCCAGCGAACAACACCCCCTCAAGTGAGTAACATTCAAATTAATCTCTGTTTAATTAGATATATGTATGGATAGGCTGCAACTCTGCAAAGTTTGGACATCTATATGCAGCTGCTTCTACACGCCCTGTAAGTTTAGGATCTTATTTACGTTTCGGATGGTACTCCATTTCACATATCTCAGGAAAATTTCTGTCTGTCTTCATGATTTTTTGTTAAGGATATGTACAAATTGGAGAGGCTATTTGGGTTTAAGTGTTAAATACTTGAATCTTTTACAGAAAATTATAGTTGCTCACAAGATGTTGGTAATGTAGTTGCAATTTAACCTTAAGTAGGAATTAGGAAATCAATATTATTGGGGCTCCCAAAGTTGTAAATTATGTAAGGTATACGTCAAAAATCTTTAGTAGTACTATAGTTGCACACAAGTTGGTAATGTAATTGCATTTAATGAGTTAGCATAAGTTTTCCTTCTCTTTTTGAAATGTTTGGTCATGTTATCCCACCTCATGATATGCACAGAGCAACACAGTTGCTGTTACAGCTTGTCTTGCTCCTCTGCCTCCTTTACAGCTTTCAGAGAATTTTAGTCTTTAGAGAGTTTGTACTAGTTAGTTGATATGGATTATAATATAACAGGGAAGGCATAGGCTTTGTTTTCCATATTTGTTGTTCCTGAGCCTTGACAGAGCTGTGTTTCTTTACACAACTGATTATATGAACCAAATTAAAGGGCATAAGCGATTTCAGTATCAGATTGATCTTCTAGGCATAAACACAATAAAAAAAAGGGACTCGATTTGTTTCCCAAATATATGAAATCCATGTTCTGAACTGACACAAAGAATAATTTTGGAAGGGAAAAATTGCAGCTTTAGTTGTTTATATTTAATTTCTTCAAATAGAATTTGGTTGGCCTGTTTGATTTTCTGATAAATATTGATTTCTGATCCATAATACTTTGTCTTTCTTCATGCATCTGGTTTGAAATGATGGATATGATCATATGAATGGAATATATTGATTATATATATTTGTTCTGTATTAAAATTGAATGAAATTTTAATTTTTATCTGCTGGGCTCTGTGATTCATGATGGTATTAGTTTATTAATTATGCACTTATAATGTGTTTTATGAATTTTATGGTTCCCTATTGAAGTTTGAATTTGCATTATTAGAATTTTGTATTGGTCCATTTTTTTTTTTTTTATAATAGTGTTAGAAAGAATAAAATTAGTCTTTAACATCAATTATTAATTATTTCTGTACTTGCCTTAAATTCAAATAATTTAGTTTTACTATACTGGAAGATGAAAAATGTTATAATTTAGTATCTACGTGTTGTCTCTACTCAAATGTGAGACATACAACTATGTTTAAGTATTCAGAACTATAGGCTTTAGGTATAGATGGTTTTGTGCTTAGTACTGAAGGTGTTTATGATTGTCAGGGCAGATGTATACTTAGGAATCTAACTTCTTTGAACCAAAGAAATCCTAAGCTTCTGTTCAACCAAATTATCTATGCATTTGTGCTCATGTTTCAATAAAACCTAAGCTAGATTGTCACATGTAATTTACCTAACCAACTAGAACATTTGTGTTGTCATGGATTGACATGGGAAAGGGATACAACTTTCCAGACATTTATCATTCCATTCATATATTCCAACTTTTTTAATTTGATCATTTGAAAGATTAACAGAACCAACTAAACTTGAAAGCAAAATTAGGAACACAAAATTTTACAAAAAATTTTGATTAAGAGATATATCTGAACTACTCCGTATATTTTGTTGTTATTTTACTTGGTACTGTGACAAGCAATGGACTGTTGCTTGACTATGGCCTTTCTTGCCAGTGATGCCCCAAGGCCCAAGTTGTTTCATCCATTAATTTATTGATTTTGTTCTATTTATCTGTTACTTTCTGAAGTCTGAACTCTTGAAATTTCTCTTGCAAACAGGACATTGATCACAGATTACAAATGCACTCATCTTTGGTACAAAGGCTGTCTTTAGAAAGAGAATTAGAGGTGAGTAGCCTAACAAGACCTCAACCTCTAACTGGTGTTAAATCAAATTATTTGATTCACTTTTTTATATTCATAATAGACTTGCATAGGCTGTTCTTGAACCAAACAAGGAAAAATCTTTAGATTCCAATGTAGGTTGACGAGTAAAATTTATATCCATACTCAAAAAGAACAGTGCTGTCAACTTTTGGATTCCAATCTTTGGCTTGAGGACTTTGATCATGCTAGAAGTTAGTCTACAATAACAGTCTTTTGAATGCACTTTGTGCTTGGTTTAAAGGAATTTGCCAGTGAAAGAATAGGCATACTGTGAAATTGTTAAAAAACATAACTGCATTGCTTGTTGCCTTCTTATGTGATTTGTTTTGATTCTTAATTTAATTTTAATTCTCTAATCTGCAGGAACCCGAACTTGTTTAAGTTGCAGAGGATAATTATTATTCATCATCAAAAGAGAAGAGAAGAAGAAATTAAAAAGGTTTGTTGTCTGTTTTGTCTGCATTTTACATTTGTTCTTTATTTGCCGGATAAACCGCCTGTGGGTACCGGTACTTGTGTTTTCTCCGGCTAAACCGCCTGTGGGTACCGGAGGTTTATAAAAATATGCATGATTGTTTATTTGTTGTTTATTAGCCGGTTAAACCGCATGTGGGTACCGGCACTTGTGTTTTCTCCGGCTAAACCGCCTGTGGGTACCGGAGGTTTATGAATGCATGATTGTTTATTATAAGCTTTATTTGAATGCAGGTTCAAATGCAAGCTGAAAGAACTCAAATGCAGGTTCAAATGTAAGCTCAAATTGCAAGCTTGATGAATGAGTTGCGTCGCAATGGCATGTTATCCAATCCAAGTACTCAAGCTCAACATTCGGCTAATTCAAATGATGAAATCTTAGGAGATGATTAAGATTATGTTTATTAATATATTTGGTACTGGTTCTAATGATGTAACATTATACTACAACACTTTTGTTGTTGCTATTCACTTTGAATGCTTTTTAATATAGTATATTTTATAATTATATTATTCAAGTACTATATTATAGGTTTAATGCATGTTTCTGATATTAATTAGCGGGTATAATTGTTTTATTAATTTTCAAAATTTAGGGACGGACAAATATGGTACTAATGTAACGAAATAGCAACTGAAAAATTCGTAGTTAAATTTAGCGACGGATATTTTTGTCACTAAGTTGTAGTTAAATTAAATTAAATTCAAATAATAATAAAAGAATAGCGACGGATAATTTTCGTCGTTAATATAACGATGGACGGTAACGAAGGTTACGTCCGTCTCTATATTTAGCGACGGAAAAATCCGTAGCTAAGTCGTTGTAAATCTCGTCGCGGAGCATAGTAGTAGCAGTTTAACGACGGAATTGTTGTTGCTTTCGCGATGGAATTTCCGTCGCTAACTATGGCGACGGACTATTCCGTCGGTATTTGCTCGCAATAGTCCTCTTCGGATCCGTCGTTGTAAGGAGTTTAGCGACGGATATATTTCGGCTAGCGGCGGAAATTTCCGTCGCTAAGCCTAGCGACGGAAAATTAATTGTCTCGCTAACTTTTAGCGAGGAGGGTTTTTGTGACGGACGAATTCCGTCGCTAATCCGTCGCTAAATACTTTAGCGACGGATTTTCACTATTTAGCGACGGAATTCGTTCGTCGCTATTCTTGTGTTTTTTTGTAGTGATTGTAACTGTATATTAATTTCATTTTGAAATCATTGGTTCACATATTTAATTTTTTTAATTATTATAATTTATAAACAGAAAGGATATTGTACTAATTAATTTATGATATTTATCAAATTTTATTTTTAAAAAATATAAGATTTACACATGTTATGAGGGGTAAAAAAATATTTTAAAATTATTTTTTATTAGTAAGTATTTTAAAAAAAAAAAAATTTCAGCAACCCAAACACTCATTTAGTCTCCCATCAAAAAACTGATAAAGAAAAGTCATATCATTAAGGGAATTAAAACTAATTAAAGTAAATGTAATCATGCTATATTTATTTGTATCTGACTATCTGTACATTAATTTCATTTTGAAATTATTGGTTCACATAGTTGAATTATTTATTTTTTATTTAATTATTATACACATAAATGATATTTTACTAATTAATTTATGATATTTATCAAATTGTATTTTTTAAATATAGTGTTTTATCCATGCATTGCACGGAATTTTATTTTTGTTATTATGAATTTAAAATAAAAATAGAAAAATAAAAAGATGTTAAAATGTACAATATAATAATATAGTTGGACTTTTATATATTTAGTCAAGTATCTATTTTCATAACATACAAAATTAAAATTAAAATTTTGTATGGTTAATATAATCTCTAATCATGTACATATTTAGATAACTTTATAGAAAAAATTCATATAATTAAGTTGATTTATTCCAAATTGTATTTCATATCTATATATGAAATTTAAAAATATTCTTCCAAAAGGAAGCCCTAAGGGCCCCCACATCCCGACCCGACAGAGCATTTGGGAGGATGTAAATCATGGTAACTCAACTGAACATGAACCACAGAGGCGAAATTCGATCCCTGGTCATTCTTCCAAAGTTTCACCTCTGTGACCAGTTGAGCTGCCCATGCATAATAATACTTCTTCAACGGCTATAATTCTGAAGCATTTTTCGGTTTTCTATTTTTCTGTTTCAATTTTCACAGTTTTTTTTCTTTTTTACAAATTATACTCTGCGCGTTAGATTGGGTTGCTTTAAATATTCAAAATTTTGATGGTTATTTTTTGAGTTTTAATTCGGATAATAAAAATAATATCTATAGATGACAATAGGTAAAATAATATCAATTACCTGACCTCCTAAATCCTAATAAAATGGATTTGAGTAGTTGATAGTTGAGTTTGTAATGTGTTCGGATAGTAGTGAAATTCTCATGTCCGATACTCAAATTGTGTGTACAAGCATGCACGTGCATTAAATAGGTTTCGAAGTGATTTTGAGTACTATATAGGCAGTGTCAAATAGGTTTAGAATTGCATGAGTACTATTCACTAGTGTTCGAGTAGTTCTAAATATATTCTTATTCAAATTTGACAATTCAATGACTAAACAACACAAGTACCTACCTATTGTCAATCCTAATAATATGGGTATTGTAAAGAGAACATATAAAATAGGCCACTGAACTTTAAATTAAAAAAAAAAAAAAAAAACAATTGGGTCCCTAAATAACACAAATTCTTACAATTTAATCTAAAATGAATTGTTTACCTTTTAATATGATGATGTGTCGATTTCTTTATTTTAAAATAATTTTTAATTAAATAAATATTTTAAAATTTAAAAATTTAAAAAAAAAAAAAAAAAAACAGCCTGAGACCCCTTCGTCTCCGGCCAGTCATGGAGAACCTTTCGTCTCCATAGCCGGGCCCCTTCGCCCCCATGGCTAGACGAAGCCGGACACGAAGGGGTCTCCGATTGCTTTTTTAATATTTATTTAATTAAAAATTATTTTAAAAAATTTAAAAATTATTTTTAAATAAAGAAACCGACACGTCATCATATTAAAAGGTAAACAAGTCATTTTAGATTAAATTGCAAGAATTTGTGTTGTTCAGGGATCCAATTGTTGTTTTTTTTTTAATTCAGTGGCCTAATTGTAATTTTGGTATGTAGTTGGATGGCCTATTTGACCCTAATTCCTATAAAATATTATATATATATATATATATATATATATATATATTGTATAAATAAAAGTGGTGATGCTAAAATAAATAGATATAAGAGGTGCTAATGACCTAGTGGTTTAGGGACGAAGTGACTCTTCCAAATGGAAGGTCATGGTTCTCTTTGTGCTTCAGTAGGTTGAAAAAGTAGTTATGAACAGATATATAGAGTAGGTAGGTGGATAATAGTGATTATAAATGAATTTATGGAGTTAATTACCGATTTGGTCCCTCGACTATGAGGATTTTACCATTTTGATCCTCGACTACTAAAATTTCTCAATTTGATCCCCGATTATGTCATTTTTACCCGATTTGGTCATATAGTCAAACCAACATTTTTAAAGCAATAAAAGCGAGGACATATTTGTAATTTCACTTTATTTCCCTTGTCCATTTTCATCTCCACGCTTTATTGTTGGGTTATACAGATTATTTCCAAATATCAAACCCTAGAAATACAGATTATTTTCCTAGAATTTCCAAATATCAAACCCTAATCGCACAATCCATGATTGAAAACTTGAGAAATCATATGTATTTTAACCAACAACTATAACCGTACATCAGTATTCACGAAGTGGCTGTTATTTGTAATGGGTTCAGCAAGAGATGATACATGTTGACGAACCAGTGCTCGCGCTTAGCCGAGCCGTCGAGGATGGAGTTAATCGTGCTGGTTCTTGAATCGACGTCTATCGGGAAAAGGAAACGCTGCAGACACGCCGCCGACTTGTGACTCTGCGCCTCCCGTTCATACTCCTCCATCATATTCTCCACATCTTCGTCCATCGTAGCCGTAATCAACCCGAGTCGAGGTCCTCGTTGGGAAACTGGTACTTCACGACCACGCTAGCCGTGCCGGCGAGCTTGGACAGCTTAACGAGGAGGGATGAGAAATACGCGTGGTGGTTCAACGCGATTATGCACGTGTCGCCGTCGACGTAGCGGAGCTAATTGTCGTGAGTCCGGGGAAGGATCTTCCTGCCGAAACTGCACATGAAGCGGACGCGTGGTAGCTGCTGCATGGAGACGCCACCGTCGTCGAGGTTTTGGTGGTGCTCCGATCTCGGCGTTGAGGCCACCGAGTCGCCTGCGTTGGACTGCATTCTCGACTGCTATATAAAACAAACGAGTTAAAGTTAGGGAAGAAGAAGATGTTTTTTTAAAATCCTCAATTTGCCTTTTTAGTTTGACCGGTAAATTACACTGAGAACCAAATCGGGTAAAAATGACATAGTCTGGGACCAAATTGAGGAATTTTGGTACTTGAGCACCAAATTGGTGAAATTCTCATAGTCGAGGGACCAAATCGGTAATTAACTCTGAAGTTATGTGTAATTTTATAATAGTGATTATAAATGAAGTTATGTGTGATTTTGTATTTAGGAAGATAGGGAAAAAGCAAGTTGAGGTGCTCAAGCCCAACATTTTAGCATTTAAAGAAATTTCTTGCACCCCATTTCCTCTTTTCGTTTACTACTCCGTATTTATTGGTGTTTTTTATTTGAAAAACAAGTGTGTCATTTGTGCGATGCACGAGATACTGATTTAAAATATTTAAATTATTTTCATATATATAAAATGGAGATATGAGCTTAATTCATTATATAGTTTTCTTATTTAATATAATAATTATGTTAATTTGATATGAAAAAGTTCTGAATATAGATATTTCTAATTAAAATAATAATTCATATTTAAGATGGGTAATCAGTTAAAATAATAAACTTTATTAAAAGTTTAATACAAAGTATTTAAAATTATAAATTAAAAATTTATTGATAAACTACATTAGTAGTTGGTGTTATGAACTTTTAGTTTTTTTGTGTGATTGATCATCGGTGAAAACCTTATCGCACAATAGGAGATAGAAAGAAAGAGTAAATGGAAAACGATAATATGGAGTACTCAGGGAAATGTATGGGGAATTCTCATTCATCCAGCCAACAAAATAACATTGTATAATATATGCTTCCCTACAAACTAGGAAACATAACTAACCACTAAAGCATAATGGCCACAAATATAAATCTTCGTAACACTCCCCCTTGGACATTATCTTCTCGTGATCATGCCTCGTTAAAAACCTTTCTAGAAAAACTCTGCGGGAAAAACTAGTAAAGGAAAAGAGTACACGATGTATGTATAATCATGTGTTGTAAGGGTTGCCTAAAAAAAACCCCTTATGCTAAGAAAACCCAGTGGGAAAAACATAACTAAGGGTCCGTTTGGAAAACAGGAAAATAACTTCTGAAAAATGTTTTTCAGAAAATGAGTCATTTTCTGAAAAATATTTTCCTTTCCAGTGTCTGGTTGCATCCCTGAAAACTGTCTTGATGTGTTTGTTTCATTTTCCGAAAAATGAGAAGAATTGTTTTTAATGATTTATTATTATTATTATTATTATTATTATTATTATTATTATTATTATTATTAAAAGATAAAAAGAAAAAAATTAAAAAAACAAAATAAACAAAGAATTTGGTTTCTGCTCACGGAAACCAGTGCCCACTGGTTTCCGGGAGCGAAAACCAGAACGGAAACCAACTGGTTTCCACAGTCAGAAACCAACTGGTTTCCCGTGGTTTCCGCAGCTAGAATCATGGTTTCTGGTGGTTTTCGCAGTTATGGATCAGATCTGGAAATATGTGGAAGAAAATGAAAAGATGTCTTGGAGAAGACGGTGAAAGAAGACGAAAATCAGCTGGTTTTCGCGGCCAGAAGCCATGGTTTCCGGTGGTTTCCACAGCCGTAGATCAGATATGGAAAGATGTGGAAGAAGTCTTGGAGAAGATGGTGGAAGAAGATGAAAACATTTTCTGCTAGTTGCCTCTCTAGTTATGCTGAAGAGAGAGTGGAAAATGACTTCCCCCAAAAATAAGGGGAAGTCATTTTCCGGAAAAGATGTGTTGTTTTCCATTGACTAAGTGTCATTTTCCTTTGACTTCCATTTTCTTTGTTTAGTCAAAACACACCCTAAAGAAAAAAGGAGTACAACCATAAACCAATAATCATAAACCTTCAAGGTATAATCTTCAAGATTTTGGGATTTGTCTATTTAAGTATTTATTTGCACATTCCCCCTTTTAATATTACTATATCATACGCATGCCTCGTTATAAACCTCACTAAGAAAACCCAGTGGGGAAAAACTAGTTGAGGAAAAAAGTGCATGATGTATGTGTATCCTTTTTTTATATTAGCTGCCTCATTAAAAACCTAGATTAAGGAAAAACCCCGTGGGGAAAAACTTAACTAAAGAAAAGAGTACGACGGTTAATCGTCAAGACCCAATCTTCAGGATTGATCCATGTAAAATGATACTCCCCTCAAGATAACAATCTTCAAATCCTACACAAAATATATTTCCAAAAATTTGTAGAAATGGATTGGACAAATCTTCTGGATTGTCACTAGAGTGAATATCTTGCACAATAATTTTTTGACTCTTCTAGAGCTCATATGGGTTGAATTTTGACGCTATATATGCGTTGTCAAATATTCTTTAACACACTCATATATCATTTGTGCAACACAAGTGTTATTGTCCTCTTTTAGGACATTGGGAGTAATTCATTGTATAACCAGTTTGGGATTTGGCATCACGGGAATCAAACAAAATAGACAGTACCCAAGTAGCCTATCAAACCATACATTTGTTTCTCCCCTAAATGCCAAAATATTTTGTAACTCGGAGAATATATTAAACACTATTCCAATATTTCATTATAGAAGGAGCTCTAGATGTTGCTAGCAATTTCATCGCAAATATCATGCTTGTTGCGACTATGGAACTTCTAGTTCTAAAATGGTGCTCCAACGACAATGAAGTAAGGATTTTTTAAGGTATCCTCACCGAGTCTAAACGGTTTCTTATCTACTTCAAGAGATTATTAGATGTAGGCTAACTGGTGTATAAAATTCATTCAAGGAAAAACTCAATCTTCAGACATGAACTGACATCATCAAGCTCTTTAGATATTTCATTGATGTTTACACCCTCAATATTGACTGAGATAATAAATAAGTTCATTATCAACTCTGTATTGAGCACATAATGATACATATTATTCCTTCTTAATGAGAATAATAACTCCATTTGCAACTCTTTAAAGAATACATAATGACACATAATAAATACATATTCCTTCTTCAAGAGGAAAAATACTCAGTCAATTATTAACTGTTTCATGTCATATAAAGACCATTGTAATTTAATATCATACACGTTACGATTTTCATTTTCTCATTTGGAAAATTATAAATCCATTAGAGATTTCTCAAAATAAATATTAATTGCATATCTAAATTTATTATTCTGCCAATGATATTATGTAGGGGAACTTAATGTCATTACCGTGGGAGAGTATATTTGATTAGAATCAAAGGGTATCTACGTGAGCGCATAAGCTACAAATTCGCTTTATATCATATCACCTCGTTATTCTTATTTCTCTTTCGTGCACACATCCATTTATAACCTTCAGGGTTAACGCTCAATGGTGTATTGTTATAAAGAGAATATATTCATTTTAGCGAGTCGCGCTATGCCTTAATTAGTCATTTATATGTTAAATAGTCATGGCACTTTCGGTGCCTAACTCTGGATCCAGATTATCATATAATCAGCAATTTGTAAAGGCAATTGTGTTGTCAACAACTATAACATTTTATCGTAATTTCTCTCATATTTATAATAGTTCATGGCAATATTTAAGTCAATGAGATTATAGACATTTCCCAAAGATATTCAGATTTGGTCGTTCTGCATCCCCAGTATTATAATTATTTAGTATACCGATAAGTTTACTGGGAGGTTTTTCACCTTCTGGATGAACGTCTTCAAGACATAATCCTCTATTAGATTTTAAGAGTGACAAATTTTCTTTACTAGATCTAGTAGTGGTTCTTATCTCTTACACCGATAGATCTCCTACACTTCTGGCGTCAAGGAGTATCGGTAAATATATTTGGTCCAAGTTGGGGAAGGTACATGGGGCATAGTCACTCTTTTATGATCAGTATGATCAATAAATATATTTGGCAAATTATTTGCTAATGTCGCAAATAAATTATCTTCTGAACTTCCAGTCCAATCTAACTAGTACGTGGATTTCTTAACTAATGAAGATCTTTCCATTCCATGGAACTTCTCAGCATTTCATTAAATTTGGGCTCATTATCTCCCCCTAATGCCGTGAACCGATATTCATGAAGTATGCAGTCAGCGTATCTATTGATCCCCTATTATGGACTATGGGTATTTAGACAACAAACGGAGGTTTATAACCAACATGTGTACCCACCCAACTTCATTTGATAGCCCTTAAAGATATGCTATGGTGGTGATAAGTAAAATAGACTACCTACTAAGAATAAAAACACAAATTGGGAAATGTTCAATACTACCATGTACTAGGAGTATGGGGGATTAATCTGGATATGCAGTGAGTCAGATTTGGATTCAATACATAAGTATATCATGTTCAATATCCTCAAAACATATAATTTAGTAAAATATTTGACTCATTATGTTTGCTCAATAGATGTATAGATGGTGAGACCATTCAAGATTTCTAAAATCTATTTCCTCAACTTACGAAGGGTCATCAACATCAAATATTCACAACTTATTTATTTCAAGCCAACTAACATGATGTGACTCACTTCTAATTGCATCGTGACTAAAAAATTGCAGACTTCATTCATGGGTCATGAGCGATTAGTCACCCAAATATTAATACCTATTCAAGGTATTCTAGTCAACAACTTATAGAGTGTATTCCCGCTAAAACTAGGTATTTAATATCCCTTTCAAAGCTCAATGAAACTCAAAGTGCTTAGTATAGTTTCATCATGTACTGCTACTGGAGTACAAGATGATCAGTTTAGAGTACAAGGCGACTAGCTCAGAAGGGAGGATTATAACAACTACTTAGTACAATATTGTTGCACTGGTCATATATTGAGGCGGGTTTAACACCTTTGTTGACCGTATCAATCCTTTCAGGGATTAACATAGGATCTGTGAATCATTTTCGATCAAATGTTCACTATCGAATTGTGGTCTAAAAGCCAGGGTGATATGAGAAAAATTAGTGCTCTTAGTTTACCTTTTAGACATAGACTATATCCAAAAGTTATGCACTATCATTTTGTTTCGATACTAAATATTGAGATCTTTAATGTTATAGTACTCATGAGCAATAATAATTGTTATAACCGAGAGTCAAAGGACATGAATTTGGATAAATAATAATTGACTTTTGAATTGTATCAAATCAATTTCACATTGGAGTCATATAATTTGTCCTAGTATTGTTATCATATAAACTAGTATAACACCCGTGCGATGCACGGATATCAACATATATTCAATAATTATATTAATTATCAAATTTAAATAATGCAAATAACTAAATAAGTACTCAAAATATTATATAATATTCTAACAATATCTTTTTTTTGTGAGATAATAATATCTTATTATAATAAAGTATGTATAGTACCTAATATCAAATTTTGCTTTATAATGACTTAGTGTTGGGATTAAATAATAAAAAAGGACCATATACCCTCAGTTGTCAAACTAAAAAAATACCATGGGCATACAAAGAGAACTATACCAAAAATCACAAAGATTGAACCTAATTTTAGGTATTTATAAGCATGCTAAGGGACATCTAAAAGCTAGACTATAAAGTGACTTTGCTAGACACAAATTTTGAATTTGAAAATTTTAAAAATGTATTCAGCACAACAAATAATGTATTAGGCTGCCCAAAAGTAGTAGAATTTGAATATACTAAACTATTACACTAAATATAATGTAATATTAGTAAATGTAGGCTATGTGTAGTGTTTAAGGATTTCAAGATAATATATTTCGTTAGTAGATGTAGGCCATGCGTGTTGCTTCCATGGTGGACCAGGGTCACCTTCCATGGGGCAAATTATATTGTGCACTGCGGTGCATAATCGATTATGCACCGAGTTTCAAACGACGTCGTTTTGTTTAATGAAAAGAAATGGTACCCGTTTCACACTGTTTTGCGCCGTTCCGCAAAAAGTAACTCTGTTATTCAATTTCATTTTGTATACACTGTAGTTTCAGTTCAACACAACTACAGTTTAATTTCGATATAACTACAGTTTCATTCGATATTTATACACTCAAATATGTAAAAATGTTATTTAATTTTATTTTATATACACTATAGCTTCATTAAAACACAACTACATGATCATTTCGATATAACTAGAACTTCATTGCACAATATACACTCAAATATGTGAAATGTTATTCAGTTTCATTTTATATACACTGCAGTTTCATTTAAACACAACTACATTATCATTTTGATATAACTACAGTTTCGCTGGGTAATATACACTCAAATATGTGAAATTGTTATTCAGTTTCATTTTGTATACACTGCAGTTCATTTCAACACAACTACAGTTTCATTTCATTTCAATTGCAGTTTCACTTGATAATATAAAAATAATATGTGAGGCAGTGTCAATTTAGATACACTGTAGTTTCAGTTGGTAATTAATACACCAAACATGTGCGCTCCGTTAACTATAACGGCGCGCCGTTTCTTTACTTAAAGAAACGGTGCCATTTTTTTTTACCGCGGTGCACGTGCACCACGGTCCACGATATAACAACTGCTTCCATGGTGGATCTTGGTCCAAAATGGCATCGTTTTATATCAAATGTTAATTAGTACATCATATTTAATAACATTATCATAGACTATGTTCATAATATTTGTTCTATATGTCCATAAATCAAACCTCAGTGTCAATAAACACAAAACTAAATATAAATTATATTTTTATTCATCTATAGTAGGTTCATAATATCTACAATTCTAATAAGAACCAATAATGTTAGGCCCTTAAATTGAACAAAAAAATGTCGGTAGTATTGTTTCTTAAAATGTATGGTTCATATTATTTTGATTTTAGTATTTTTTTAATGGATTTCCTTATTTACCCTCTATTTTATTATTTTTTTCCCTTAAATAACCTAAATTCCGTTAGTATAAACTTTAGTAACGAAATATTCCGTTAACTATTTATTATTTTTAACTTACTCATTAATTTCTGTAAGAAAGGTCTTAGGTTCAAACCCCATCACAATTAGAGTTGGCATAATTTTTAAACATATACTACGAATATGTTAAAATGTGTGTGTGTATATATATATATATATATATATATATATATATATATATATATATATATATATATATATATATATATATATATATATATATATATATAAAATATAACATAATATAAAATTTAACATAAACTTTGGTCAAATAATTAGTCCGACTAAATACATAACATTCAAAGTTAAGCATCAAAGATTATAAATCAAGAACTTTAAAAATCATTTGATTTTTATGCATTTAAAACAAACAAAAAAAAAACAAATTTAGGTTAAGTTTTTTTTTTTTTTTTTTTTTTCCGTTTAATTAATCTTATTTTGATTATTTTTTTTTTGAATGCTACTAGCTCTATTACATTGTAGTATCTGTTCATATTCTTATTTTGATTATTTAGATCAGAACAAAACTTAATATTTCAATTATACTTTTGCATTATTGGTATGATTTAGGAAATTATGGTATTAATAGTTTTTGTATGTATTTTTATAATAGTACAATTGTACATTACTTTACAATTATTATATTATTTTTTTATCGGACAAAATTGTTCTTACATCATTGTTAGACATGCACGACTTAACTACAAAGTTGTTGATCATAAATAC